CCCGAAGAGCGACGCATGTTGGCTGGGCGTGGATGCCTTCAGTGCGATTCGTGTGTTTGACTGATGCGGCGCCCGTCGGGCGAGTCTCCTGGTCCTGGCCACGGGGGCAAGGCCCTGGCGGTTGGTCCGCATCTCGGCGCGGGCAGCACTGTGTGTTTGGCCTGTCTTAGTGGCGTTTTTCTTGTTGTTCGTCTCACGGCCGCCTGGCTGGCTACCAGGTGGGCCGCGTTAAATCGCTCCTGTCGCACGGCTGTGGGGCGACGTCTCCCTCCTGCCGTGGCCTGGTCGTGCTGTGACCTCAACCACCTTGGCTCGTGAGGGCTCGCATGGTGGGTTCGATCTTAGGTTTTGATGTGTCTCGCTCGGCGGTGTTGGTTACGCTGCCAGCCTTGGAATTCGGGCCTTGGAATTCCGTCGAGCGAATGCCGCTGGCCGCCCTTTTCACTGCCTCGTGTTGCCCCCGCCCTTGGTGCGCGGCCGCGGGGTGACATCTCCCTGCGGCGACCGTTGCTCATGGGTCGACCTAGCACTTCATTTGCGCGCTGGGCACGGGGGAGGTTCCCCCCTGACTGTGGCCCTGGCGTGCAGTGATTTTGTCCCAACCTTTCGTGAGTTGGCTCACGAGGCGGGTTCGATCTGGGGTTGTGCTGTGCCCTAGTAGGCGGTGCTGGTTACGCAGCCAGCCATCGAATTCGGGCCTTGGAATTCCGTCGAACGGGCGTCGCTGGCCGTCCTTTTCACTGCCTCGCGTTGCCCTCGCCCCCCCTGTCGCGCGGCCGTGGGGTGAGAAGTCCCCTGCGGTGCCCGTCGCGCAGGGGGCCGCATCCAGTCCCATGGCGGTTGGGCTGGGCGCGGGGGGGTCTGTCGCCCCCCCCCCCCCCCCGACCATCGCCACTCATGCCGTTTAATTGGCCTTCGGCTTGGCGTGAGATGGGTTCACGCGGTAGGTTCGATCTGGGGTGATGCCGCGCTTCGCCCGTCGATGTTGGTTACGCTGCCGGCCCTGGAACTCGGGTCTTGGAATTTCGGCGTGCAGGTGCTGCTGGCCGTCCTTTTCACTGCCTCGTGCTGTCCTCGTCCTCCTGTTGCACGGCCGTGGGGATGTCTCTCCCCTGCGGTGACACTTGCTCTGGTGGCCGCCCTTCTGCTGTTTTGGTCTGGGCTCGGTTGGGCCTCTCCGACCGCGGCCTTGACGTGAGGGCCAGGGGCAGCGGTGTGTATAGCCGTCGCTGCCCACCGTCTCCTCGTTTGCCTGCTTTGCATGGCCATCAGCGGGCATAATCTTATCAGCCGAGGGCTCCATCTCAAGGATGGTAGCACCTCGGCGCGGGCAGCTCCGCAGGTATGACCAGTCCTGTGTGGTGCTCGCTCGGCAGTGCAGCGGCCAAAAATCCCCCCCCCCTCCTCCTCCTCCTCCTCCTCTCTCCTCCTCCTCCTCCTCCTCCTCCTCTCCTCCTCCTCCTCCTCCCCTCCTCCTCCTAGGGCCGAGCTTTTCGCTTTCCTTCAGGTCCTCCAGGTTTGCCCCCCCCCCCCCCCCGTTTGTGCGCGCGCCGACTTCGAAGGCCTGGTTGACGGCCTTGCCCTTGGAGCCCGATGGCGCTGCTCGCCTCGGCGTTTAAACGTCGACCTTTGGGAACGCATATGGGCCGAGATTTCTGACCTGGGCGAGGCGAGGTCCGATGTGCGAGTTATCCTAGTTAAAGGGCACCAGCAGGGCCAGAGCACCGATGCCCGAGGCAACCGGCGGGCCGACCTTGCTGCGCGCAATGGCAGAGACCTCCACTCCATCCCCAGAACGCAGGTCAAAGCTATGAAGCTTGGCCACCAACATTACACTCGCATCCTGCGATGGAGTACTACTGCCCTATGGCTTTTCTTTGGCGAACAGCGGGTTGATACTCGGCCCCGCAAGAAAGCCTGTCGGCGCCCTCGGCGAGCCACGGCCCCTCTGGAGCCCAAGGAGGAATCCGTTCATCTGCGCCATGTTTGCACCCGGGTTCCCCATCGCAGCATTTGGAGATGCGAGTTTTGTCGGAAGGGCTCGAAGCTAGAGAGGGCCCGTCGTCGTCTCTCTGTGCTTGCCTGCCCTGCTCGTTTGCGCGCTGCTGCCGCCATCCCTCGGCGCCCCTCCACTGTCACTCCTCCTGGACACGCTGCGCGCGCCCAGGCTGACAATGAAGGGCAGATGCCGACGAATGAGGGCAGCAGCTTCGGTGCTGCCGTGCGATCTCGCCCCCCCATCGGACTCGTTTCGCTCGGCGCGCCCTCGGACGGAGCCCCCCACGCGTGGCCAGGAGAGTGTCCAAGGGGAGGCGGATCCCCCCCCCTCCTCGGGCCTGGGTAGCCCTTTCTTCGCCTCGCCCCCGCAGCCCCTTCCCTGGCTTTGAAAGACACGTCAGGCCACGCGTGGGCTTCGAGCCCGTCGCTATTGCCTGGGATGGAGCTGCGAGTGCCCAGGCTGATGCCGCTGCCAGGGTTCTTTCTTTTCCAGAGCGCTCGGGACCCACCTTCCTCCCAGACAAGCGGAGGCGGATCGGCTCCAAGCGCCCAAGTCGGCCCTCGCTGGCCGACACGACAGTGCCAGCCGAGCCTCTGCCTGGAGCGGGCCCCGTTCCTGCCACGGCCGCTCGCGGCCACCGACTCTGGGTTTCCTCGGGCCATGTTTGCCTGTGCGTTTCCTGTGGGGCTTTCACGACGGGCACGGCTGGTCACCCCCTAATTGATTGCCCGTCGGGGAGCACGCGCCGTCTGTCAGAACGGGCGGTGCGTAACCGACGCCTCTTCATGCAGGGCTTTCATCCTGCGGACGAAGGAATGGAGGGCCCACGTCGAGTTCCCGCACCTCGTCCGCTACTAGTCTCAGACCTTGAGACTCACTGGGTCAGGCTCCACGGGAGCCCACCTTCTCACCCAGGCTGCGGGACTTACTCCCCAGTCTCTTTTGTCTGCGTGGCTGATACCCGAGAGCCTTTCGGTGGGGTCCCAGCCTCTTCGCAGGCCAGCCAGGCTGCCAGCAGCTTGGCGCCCTTGGTGGGCGCTCGTGCTCAGCGCGACGCTTCCGTCGGCAGTGCCGTATCCTCCTCCTCCTCCTCCTCCTCCTCTCCCTCCTCCTCCTAGCTGTTTCGTGCCCCGAACGCTATTCCGCGAACGCGAGGGCATTGCTTGCGCGAGGTTCAAAACGCCGCGCTGCACAAGCGAACCAATCGGCTCTTCCTCCGCCAGCAAGCGAAGTGACAGCCAGTGCCGTCGCGCGCGTACAGTCATTCCTCTCGATGTCGCGGAGGATGGGACGGACTGGCGACGACTCTTTGGAGGAACGCATGGCGCACGGGAGGAGGCAATGGCAACGGTACCAAGTCCCCACCCCAGTTCTGGATGTGCGCCCGTTGTCAGCGCGCGAAACATCTCGAGGAATAGGGGTTCTGCAAGTATTGCAAGCAACGTTGTGGTCAAGGAAAATGTGTAAGAGAAGCAGGAGCTCTGCGGAGGACAGTTGCAGCGTGGAGCTTGGGCCAACGGCCGAGGGAAAAGGTCGCGACCCAGCAGGCGCCGGAGAAACCACACTCACAGAGAACCAGCTGGACATGCCAGATCGTGCTCAACATCGAGAGGTAGCTCAACGGAAACTCGACCAGCTCGACAAATTGTAGCTGGACTGTCGCGAGAAGCAGGAGACCGTGGCCACGCCAACGACCCGCCGAACCAGGCTTCGAGCCCCTAGGCGTTTCTCTTAGTGTGCTGAGCCCACCAGGACCTGAGAGCTATCCTCTGGCCGTAGAGGCGGCCGCTGCCACGCCGTAGGAATCGGCGCGGGTATGGTTTTCCCCCCCCCCCCCCCTCCCCCAGTACCAGTCCGATCCTCGCCCGACCAAGGTGCGGTCGACGGCCACGCCTTCGGCGACCCAGGGCCTTCCGAGGCCGCCGGTCCGCGGCACCCAGCACCAGCCGTTCCTGCCCTACGCGCCCCCTGTTCTCTAGGGACCTCGGGCAGTGTGCGGCGTCCGCCACCGCTGGTACACGCCCCCATTCTCAAGGGGCCTCCCAGGCCGCGGGCTCACGTTATAATATTTCAGGGGCGCGCGCAAGTCCAGGAGGGCCAGATCAGCCGCGCTTCCAGTTGGGCTTTCAAGCGCGGCTGGAAGTCTAGATTCTCGGCGGCCGCGGCAGGGGCGGGATCGGGGGCCCCAGGCGGGGTGGCGACCTTCGCCCGTTCGTTCCTGGGATGCTACGCCTTAGAGGTTGGCCTGGTCGTATTTCGAAGTTGTCGGTAATGGCGGCCGCCGACAGAGTGGCTAGACAAGGGCTGGAAGCCCGCCCTACTGGCATACATCTGGAGTTCGACGACGTAGACAGAAGAATAACAAAAACAACATCAACAAAAACGAAGATTGCCAAGGCAGCCTGCCGTCTGGGTGCTTGTCTTGTGCCGCTTGGCTGCTTGTCTTGTGCCGCTGTGGCCTGGGCTGGACCTCCAAGGCTGCCCTAGGACTCGTCGGGAGCCCGAGCCCAAGCCCACGCCCCCTTTCTGTCTATCACGAGGTGCGGCGTGCGCCTCAAGGCACGACGCCCTCTTCAGGGCTTTGTTTTGGCGAAAGTGACCAGCCAACGATGGCGGGATACACGGGGCCGGTCCCAGAAGCGTTGCAGCAAGTGGGAGCTAAAGGGCACATATTTTCACCTTTGACTGCAACGACGATGTCTCTCTGTTCATTTGCATGCGTTGCAACGCCGTCTCGACGCGGGGCCCGTTAGCGCTCTCTGCGCGAGATTGCACACCCCCAGTTCGAAACCATTTCGAACGCTAGCAAGAAATACTGTGCCTTGAAGGGTCGTCACCCGAAACAGTGCGTAAGTCACCGCTGGAGATCAGTAACTCCCACGGGCGAAGCGAGAACGACTCTCCAGTACGGTCCCATGTTTAAGCTCTCTTCCGCTTCCACCTAAACCTGCAGGAAGCAAGGCTCACGGTGTGGCTGCTTGGGCTGGGCTCCCCTGGCCAGGCGCGACGTTCTCGGCCGTCAGCGACGCCGCCGCCCCCGCGCTTGGCGTGCGGGCGCGGGGCGGAGGCACGGAGGTCTCGGCCGTGGGCGTGGACGGCCGCCCGCTGAGGCCGCGGTCGCGTTTTCCCACTCGTCGCTCGAGCGCCGCCGCCGACGCTACGAGAGCCCAGGCCTCCTATCGGGGTCCGATCGCGCCGCATCGCCGATGCATCGGCGATGCGGCTTGATGTGGAGATCCATTTTCGCCACGCCGACGGCGCCGATGCATCGCCGACGTCGCCGATGCAATGCCGATGCATCGCCGATGCGTCGACGATGCATTGGCGATGCGGCGTGATCCTCCGACCCCATCTGCCCGGGACCCATCTGGAGGGCCTCAAGTAGAGGCGGGGTCTCTCAGACGGGGTCTTCGGGGGCCGCCCCTCGCACTGGCGTGCTCTCCTGCAGCTGCGCTCCGCCGAGGGCGATCCGAGGGGGGCGTCCGCGGGCCGTCCCGACCGGCCGCCAGAGGTGGAGGCTCGAGTTGTGGCCCCCGAAGGTCCATCGCTTCGCAATAGATCGGAGTCGATCGCGCCGCCGGTTGTTCGTCGGTTTCGGGACACTGGTGGGCCGTTGTTGAGCGAAGGCTGGTCGGGGCACGTTGAAGGAGAACTTGAGGGACCCACGAACCCGCTAAGGAAATTCAGTCAAATAATCTCACCAGCCCTTTAGGGCGTAGGTGGTTTAGGGCGTCTCCTCTTCCACCCCTCCCTCTTCCCCTTCGGGGAGTGGGTTACCCCTCCCCCTACCTCCCCCCCTGGACCTGGACAGAGGGTTCTGCGGGTAGTCGGAGCGTCCAAAGCGGCTCCGGCGAGGAAGCCCAAATCATTGGTTGTACGTTGTACTGCGGTGTTGGCCCCATTTTGGCCTCCTAGGGGGAGGGGGAGAGAGGGAGGGAGGGAGGGAGGGAGGGAGGTGGCCTCCTGGGGGCTTCTTGGGGACCCCTTGGGGGATCAATGCTATTCTGATCAGTGCATGGCTCGCTGTGTCACCCCACTCGAGTGGGCGACGACTGGCCGCCTTGAGCGCCGGCCTGAAGCAACAAACGGCTGCACACTCGCTTGCTTTCCCCCCCAGAATCGACCAGGAGGCAGGGGGTGGCGGAGCTCACTTTCCAGCTCGGGCCCAGGAGCTGGCGGTCCTCGGGTTTTGCCCGTTGGGGTGGGGCAGCCTGCTGAAGGTGAGTCGGCAGCGGCGGGCTCCACTGGGGGGAGGCGGCGGCGGCCTACGTCGTGCTGCTCTTCTGGGGCCGTGGCATGCTCAACGTTTTCCCTGACGGAGGTGGGTCGGCGGCGGCGGACTCCACATGCGGCGCCCTCTCGGGAGCGGGGGGGAAGACGACGACGGCGTGGCGGGGGCGGCGGCGAGGCTGGCGACGACGACGGCGCCGAGAGGCTGCCGCTCGCGCAGGGCGTCTCGCTGCCGCTAGGGGGCGCCCGGCTCCCGGCGGGGGGCTGGGCCGAGGCCGTGGCCCTGGAGGCCGACGCCATCGCCGTCGGCGACCTCCCCGCGCTGGAGGCCCCGCTTCATCGTCGTCGTCGTCGTCGTCGTCGTCGTCGTCGTCGTCGTCGTCGTCGTGGGCCCTCCCGACGGTCGGCACCGCGTGTGAGCCTCTCACAGCAGCTCGGTTGGTTTGCAGGCCGTCGGGCTCCATTCGTTGGTTCGTTCGGCGGCGAGCGAGGCCTTCGCAGCAGGCGGCGAGACTTCTCAGAAGCCCTCGCGCATTCTGAGACGTTTTTTGTGTCTTCGCGGAAGGCTTAGAAAACTTCTCAAAAGGCTGGGAGACTTCCGAGCTTTCGGAGAATGCCCGCCCTTTCTCACTTCCCCCCCGGCTCGCTTTGTCTCGTCTTGCCTCCCTCCTCCTCCTTCTCCTCTTCCTCCTCCTCTGCCCTCCCAAGTCGTTCCTTTCCCCTGCCCTCCTCTGCCTCCCTCACTTCTCCTCCTCCTCCTCCTCCTCCTCCTCCTCCTCTTGCCTCTTGCCTGACGAGGAACTTTGAAAAAGGTTCGAGGCCAACCCCATCCGAAGGGTGTCTTTGTCGCCGCCAGCGAGGGTTCCATCCCGCCGCCAGCGATCCGACAGGCGCTGGCCTCGTGGTCCCTCTTAATCCAGGCCACGCCTGGAGGCCAGGAGGTAGCTTGCCCGCAGAGAGTCGTGCCCAAACACGCTTGCCGTGCATGGAAAGACCAGGGATGCACCGCCGTCCGAGTTGTTGGAGTTTCCCCTTTGAGGGGACCCCGCACTTCCACAGACTTGACACCAGTGGACCCCTCGGAAGGAATCGGCCCAATGGTATCCTTGGATCTGAGAAGGGATCCCCCGACAGTCGGATTGGAGGACAACAGCTCTGCCCCCATCCGTCCTTCTAAGAATAAGAATTGCAGCGCCACTGACCACCTTGGGTCTTCTCCACCTGGTGTTGCGTCTGGGCCAAAAACAGCGCAAGATGTTGCGGGCCAAAAACAGATCAAGATGGTGTTCCTTGGCACTCTTCTGTCAGGCAGCCCTAGTATGTGAATATTCAAGCCGGTTTCCCTTGGAGGGGGCTCCATACAGGACTGGGGCCTGCTGGGCCAAGGCAAAAGAGACCGCCAGCACCGAGTCCAAGACATTGGAGGTTCTAGTGTCAACCTTAGCCATGTCGTCCCGTCCCTGTCGGCCGAAGAGATCTAGGTCATCTTGGCCCCCTCATCTGCGGTTTTGCCTGCAAGCCCATTGCTGCCAGCGGGAGAAATTAGATCCTCAGGCCAGAGCATCGTCCAACTCGAGGTGCGAACGAATGTGGTGGACTCGAACGGACCTGTCCCCAACGGCCTCTCATAACTGACACCAAAGACCTACCATCTTCTCGCGCTTCCAAAGGGGACCTTCACGGATCCCCTTGACACCCTGTCGTCTATGATTCAGACTATGGGTCCCGTGGTTAGTTCCAACACTCTCGTGATGGCAGCACGTTCAGCCGCTGGGAACGTCTGTCTGTCAGCAACCAGGGGCCCAAGCGCCCAGCAGACAGATTGTCCTTGCCTCAAGGTGGCAAAGCCCCATCCAATCCACATCGCCTGATGCGCGGGTCAAGGCTTTCCTCCCCGCCCGCCCCGTCCGACCCGATGACGCACCCTTCATCTAGCTCAAAACGGCCATCAGCCAAGACGGGACAGAGCCTCTCCTCGCCTCGATTGGGGACAGCACAGAACGGGCCAACCAAGGGTCCCTCGTTTTTCTCCTCCTCTTCCTCTTCCTCCTCATATTATTCCTCCTCCTCCTCCTCCCACTTCTCCTCCTCCTCCTCCTCCTCCTCCTCCTCCGCTGCGTTGCAGCGGCGCGAGCTCTGGGGTTTGCACAAATCTCTTCATCTCCCCCCGAACTCCTTCGCCCTCTCGGAGCTCCTCTCCCTCGCCTCGTGGTCTCCCTCCCCCGCTCCTCACGCCATATGCTCTTTGGCGGTGGCGAATGCGTGGCGGTCCGCCTCCATGACTCTAGATGATGTTTGGGGTCCGTTGCACTGTCGGCTCCAGCTCGCTGCAGATCTCGTCTCGGGAGTGGTGGGTCACCTCCCAATTGTGGACAGAATTCAGCACGCCTGGTGCGCGCCGTGTTGGAAGATGAAGCAGTCGATTGTGCAGTACTACGAGCAGTTGAGATCCGCCGTGCCGTGTCGCCGTCCTCCCCTCTTGGCCTCGCAGCCTCGCCTCGCCCAGAACCGTGCCCGTGCCGCCGTGCGTCAGGCCGCTCTGGAGGGACGCCGGCCCAAGATGCAAGGTCATTTCATGCGTTCGGTTTCTGGCTCAGCCTATCCCGACAAATTAGATCTCCTGATTGGGCGTCGCGTGCGGGCCTGGTTTAATGTCACCCCCACACGACTGCGAGAGAGGTGGGCCCTGGCTCGAGAAATCCTGCTCCGGGCTCCCGCTTCGATCCGTTGGCCTTACTTGAAAACGGTCGCTGGGGGGTGGACGACAACGGACCGCATGCACGTGACCTCGGAGCGCTGGTGTTGTGTGTTCGGTTGCCACCGCCATCCGGACAGCATTGAGCATTACCTTCGATGCCCTCACCTTGTCCATCTGATTTGTCGTCCTCGTGCGGTGGTGCCCTCATGTCCGCTCATACGTTTCGGATTTGGGCTGCTAGTTCCGCATCCAGCGCTCGATTTTACTCGAGAAAATGCTGTGCTTGCTGCTTCCCTGTGCTTGTACATCTACCACATAGCCAAGGAAATGGTTGGGCGGCAGAACGGTCGGCCCCTCGATCTGTCTCAATCCCTCGTGGCCCTCAAAGCGGCGCTCACGAAAATGCCAGACAATTACTCGTTTCTTCCGCCTCCGCCTGGAAGGGCTAGGCCTTATCCATGGCTGAAGCCCCCAAGGCGTTGAGTGCCGCGGGACCGATGGACGCATGAGGTACTGGCGTTCCTCCTCCCCCTCCTCGTCCTCGCCCTCCTCCTCCAACCCCCCCTGCTCAGGCGATCGCGTACCTGGGCCAGGCGACCCAGCGCGCCATCTACCGTGCCATCGCAAGTGCATGGCCCCCACGGTCAGCCTCCCACACTGTACGCCCATATCTTGCGATGCTTACGCTCTTGTATTGGAATTGTGCGTTCGCGGGTGAGCTGAGGTTACAGGACATCAGTGAGTAGTTCCAGCACATAGACCTGATCGCCCTCGCAAGCACGGGCGGGCGCTCCTCACAAGAGCAGGCGACGACAAGGTCCCATTGCAAGCTTCACTTCGCCATTCACTCGGGATATGCGCCGAGCCGCCACTCCAGCAAGTCTTGCGGTATCATACTGCTGGTTCGCAAGAGAACGTTCCGCATGAAGCATTTGATAGACGCCGCGGCAGCCCCTCAGCAGTTGCGAGGGCGGGTGGCTTTGCACAGGCTGCGCTCAGGGCGCTTCGATTCGATTTGTTGACCCCCATCATTCACTTCCCCCCGTCGTCCGTCGGACAGGAGAGAACGCCGTGAGAGCGTGGCCACGGAAGCGCATCGTCGACGCCGGCCGACGGTCGATGCCATGCGCCTGGGGCTGGGCAGCACTACGTACGCGAGTGATCGCGCCCTCGAGGCGATGGAGAAATATACGATCAGAGCGGTTTCAACGGATTTCCCGGCGGGGCCCACGCATAATGGTTCGGTTTATGCGCCTTGCATCGATTTCATGGCGACCTTCGCGCGGCAGGCCGAGTCTGCGAGGAAGTGCGCGCCACTAGTGAGATCAAACCTTCGGCCCAAGCTGGCGCGCGCAAGGAGCTCGGGACCGCGCGCCCCTGCTTCTTCGGCTGGATCATACGTTCGACATGTCCTACTCGAAGACCGAAAGTGCGCCCTGGGACTTCGACCGCCTTGCCCAGGCCCTCCGACGCGCGAAAGGGGGCCGCTGACTTTGTCGTGGGCCTAGAGAAGGAGAAGGCCTCCGAGGAAGGGCCTGATTTCCACGAGCTGCGCCCTCGCGCGCCCGCGCCAGACGAGGCCCGGGCGCGCTGGGTCACCGCGGCGCGCGCGGTGGCAGAGCGGCATTCCGGGGGGGCTACCGCTATCGACCCACGTGATCGCAGGCTCGCGGAGAGGAGATCGAGGTTGTTGATTGAGCGACGTCGGGTTCGGGAGGTCGGGGGCGAGGGCGACCGCGCGCGCGCAGCTCGCGCGGGCGCCCCGTCGGCCCCGCGCGCTTCGCCGCGCCCGATTCGAGGGGTCGTCGGGCGAGCTTGCGACCGAGATCGGGCGGGCCCGGCAGGGGAGGCGCCGCAAGCACGGCGACCCGAGGGAGAGGAGGCGCAGCGCTGCGGAGGAGTTCGCGCCACGGAGAGACGAAGTTGGAGCAGTATTTGTCCCTTCGCGGTCCTGAGGGCGGGCTGCGGGCCGCCCCTGTCGAGCTCGACGAGCGCCCGAGCGAGTGGGCGGCGCGCCCCCCGCCCGACGCTCGGGCCCGACAACTTCGCGCATGTCGAGGAGAGGGGGGGGGGGGGGGCGACTACGCGGAGGCCCTGCTTGAGAAGGCGCCGATAAGGAGAGCGGCCTCTGTCCGCAGCGCGCCGAGTGACATTAATTCTGGCGCCGACCATCGACCCGAACAGGCGCTTCGACGGAACGCGCGGAATGCCTCGCGGGAGACGGGGCAGTGATGGCGAGGGCGGCCCCGACCCCGAGGATGCGGAGGCTGCCCGGAGGATTGAGTTTGCTCCGCGACATAGGCTGGCCAGCGATCGACGCGGTCTGGGAGCCTCGACGCCGGCGTTCGACAGCGCGAGGGCGGCTCGGGCCACGCCGGAGGTCTGCCATCGCATTCGGCGAGTCGGTCACGCCCCCGCTGCGCGGCATCACTCGCGAGCGACGGGCGTCTCGAAGTGCGGCGGGAAGGAAGGTTTCAGCGCGCGTCGCCACATTCACGGCCTGCGTCGAATTGGACAGCCGCGGTGCAAGGCCCCTCTCTCAGTCGCGGCGCTGCCGACCTCGAGCCCGGCCGCGAGCGCGGGCACTTGCCGGGGCGGAGTCGCGAGGGGGCCCTCGTCTGCCAGGATGA